TCAGGTGCGGAGGCCCTAGGGATTCTGTGTAGATAAAGGACAGATGTGCTCCGCTGCCAGTCCCGACGAGATCTCACCAAGCCTTTCCCCCCCCCCCCCACGGCTGGCTCCTGACCACCTGCCGCATATGTGGCACTCTCTGTGCAGAGTTCTCGTGGCGCCTTCTCGCGCAATCTTCGTTCCGCCCTGGAGGCGCGCGACGCCTGGTACCGAGAGAAGTTGCGGGGACTGCGGCAGCGCCACGACGCACAGCTTGCGGCGGTGCGCCACGCGGCGGCTGTGGAGCTGCAGCAGCGGCAGGTGCGTCTCAAGGATTTTCAGAGGTATCAGGGCGATTTGAGAGTGAGACGGCCCCGATTCGAGTGGTGATTGACTGGGGCATCTGGGCGGAGACGGGGAGCAGCACATGCGTATGTGTGTGTGTGTGTGTGTGTTGCAGCTTGTGTAGTAGCTGGCCGCTGAAAAGGCCTCTCGAGATGCTGGTGGTCGCGCTTCGCGCGTATTTGTAGAGCCGTACTATGTACCAGCTACTACAGCTTGCATGTCCGTACATGCTCTTCGCACATGTTCATGCAGGCGTGCGTGCTTGTGTGCACTAGGGCCTCTTTAGGGTGTAGGTAGCACACTTGGAGCAGACCTCTACTTTGCGGCATCGTTGCAGTCAGGCTCAGGACAGCTCATCCGTCCGAACCTACTGATTGGCGCAGCGGCCTGGAGGCGGTTCATAGCGTGCCCTCGTCCGTGGCAATGCACCAGCTTGTGGAATATTTGGGTTATTTGGATTGTTTGAAATATTTGGAATGTTTTGGACATCACCCACACGGAAGAGAGGTGCAGCGGGTCCAATGTGCTCGAGGCCGCGGCCATTTCTTTCCTTGACGGACCGCCCAACGCATCGGCACACCTCTACGCTTGCGCAAAACACGCCGCACGGACCCGCCACCTATGTTTGGTCCCTGTCTTGAACATCGCCCTGCCCTTCGAGCCCTCAGATGCAACTCAAGATTGCGCTGGCGCGAACGCTGGCGAAGAGCGCGCGCGGGGAAAACCCTGCAGCCATCCTCAACATGCTGGGTGAGTAGTAGTAGTAGTAGTAGTAGTAGTAGTAGTAGTAGTAGTAGTAGTAGTAGTAGCAGTAGTAGTAGTAGTAGTAGTAGTAGTAGTAGTAGTAGTAGTAGTAGTAGTAGTAGTAGTAGTAGTAGTAGTAGGCCGGGCGACAGAACACCCCATGTGCTGGGTGGTGGATTGCCGTACTGCGGCAAATGCGGTACCATAGGGCACCATGGGCCGGCAGGGAAAGCCTTCCGGTGATGAATTAGCAGTAAAGAGCTACCAGGGGTATGTAAGTATGTAATAAATCTAGGGTACCTACGGCGCGGCGGGAGGTAGCCATGCAGACCGAATGGACAAATGTACACACAAACATATGTACACGATACAAGTGCACCGTACACAGCCGCACTTAACCCCCGTCGTAAGGTGCAAGGTACAGTTCCATGTCAGGCTTGGGTTGGTTACAATTTGAATTGGTGTATTGTACAACTGTATGTGTTCTGTCCCACAGCTGCGCGGACTGGCTCAGAGCTAGGAATGCATACGAGCGGAGTTACCAACGCACCCAGCGTCACCGCTGCCGGAGCTGTCGCGCTCGAAGTGCAGACCACTACCTCCGGCGCCGCCCCCGGCGCCGCAGGCGCCGCCGTCGGCGGAGCCGCCGGCGCTGGCGCCGGTGCCGGGGTATCGCCGGAGGCAGCGGCGGCGGTGCGCACTAACGCTGCCGCTATGGCGGCGGTTGCCGCTGCCGCCAACGCGGTACCCAGCGGCGGACTGGGGCTCGGCGAGGGCGGCAACAACGGCGGCTCTGTGGCGCCGGCGGACTTGGGGCCGGAGACCGCCATCCTTGAGGAGCTGTTTGAGGATGCTAATGCGGCGGATGCGCTAAATCGGGAGTTGGAGGCGTCGTTGGCACGTGCGAACGCAGACATCTTGGAGCTCCGGGACAAGGTAGGGTAAGGTGCTCGGGAGGTAGGGGATGCGGCTGCGGGACTTGGCAAACAATTGTGCCTGACTCGAAGGGGAGTGAAGTGGGTTTGAATTATGTCTTTTCGATGGGGTCTATTAAATCTCGTCTATAAACCATGAACCTTGTCTTCCCTAGGTCACATTCCGCCCCGGCACATTCGGGCCCATCTGGGCCTCATCTCTTTCCTTGCCTTACCGCCCCGCTCGTCCCCCCCGCCGCTGCCCCATCCCGTTCTAACCCCGTCTGGATGAAGTTGGAGGCGTCCCAGACAGCCGCACAGGAAGCAGCTGCGGATGCCGCGCAGTGGCGGAACAAGTGGGCAGTGGAGTCCACCAAAACGGACTCCATAAAGCGCGAGTCCATGGCCATCATCGCAAAGTGCGAGGAGGTGAGTGGATCTTAGCTGCGCTGTGGTGGCGTGCGTGCATGCAGTTGCTCTGGCTGGGGTTCAAACAGCGGAGCCGTCTTAGGGACGAAAGTCCCTTACCAATGTAGAGATATCCTACGCCCCGCCCTTTTCGATACATATCGACGACGTCCTGTCTCGTTAGCTTCTGTTCCGCAGCGGTTCGGAATCCCTCATAATCCCAAGCCTCTCCCCAGCTGCATGGGGCGTGCAACGCCCTGCCACGCCACGCCACACAAAGCTACGCCACGCCATGCCGCTTTACCACCTCAGCTCTGAACCCAACCCCCGTCGTCCTGTAAGAATCCACTTGATCGAGACCTACGCATAAACCTTGCCTGCGCCGCCTGCGTATACATGTCGTACTCTGCCGCGTCCGTGTACGGCATACATACTGGTTGGTGCTGTTCCTCCGCTCGCCGCGTCTCGCTGCGCTTCTACACAGCATCTGACCCAGCTTCAACAGCACCACATAGCGGAGATCAGCCAGCGGGACTACCTGCTGCAGCGCTGCAGGGACACCATCGCCAATCTGGAGGCGCGGCTGCCGGGTATGTGTGTGTGCGTGTGTGTTTTAAATCCTTTGAGCCGTGGGTAGGAGCTGTCGAGGATGGCACTACTGCGCATGTGTACACGCTGTGCTGGAGGTGCGAAATGCGTTCTGTTGTCGTATTATATCGGTTGTTAAAAGAGAACGTTAATAACGGATGCCGTGCAAATTGCGGTTGTGTGCGAAATTAATAATGGCGGTTGTGCTGTGGATGTGTTTGAAGGTAAAATGCGTGCTGAGCGATGTGAAGCACACATACAGGTTATGGACGGCACTGTTAACAAAATAGTTTAAACAATTTAGAAGAGTCAATCATGACGAGTTACTTGCTCTGCATTGCTTTGCGAACCCGCGTATGTGTCGCGGCATTGTCTTTTAGGGGTTCCCGTGCACCACGCGACTTATTTCGGGGCCCCTCATATCGTCTTTTGTAAGACTCCACGGCTAACGCTGCTGCTGCTGCTGCTGTTGTGCCCCACCACTGTTGCGTCCCTTCCTAACCGCAGCTGCGCCGAGTCCATCATTAGCCACGGAGCCGCTGCGCAGCACACCACCACCGCCTGAGCCCCCCCAGCGCAGTCCTGTCCCGCCTGCTTGAGGTCCGCCCGCCAACGGGCATTACGGTGCTGATGGAAGACATTGCACCTTCAACTGCTTGCTCCTAAACCCCTAAAACCCTACATTAAGCAGAGTTTTAGCTTTGTGTTCTGCGCCGCTAAGGCCGGAGACGCCGTTAGATGCAGGTTATATGCAAGCAGGAACAATTATGTCTCCATGTTGAGACGGGGACGAATTGTGACTTGAGGCGTTACGGAGGAAACAGCCTGACACTGAGAAATGAAGCAAGCAAGGGACGGCCCCGCGACGCTTTTCAAGGGGGAAGTGGTCCGTGGTCCACTTCGGAAGCAAGGTCCGTGCGCAGTGGGAGTGTGGTTGTCCTCAGTGCTGGACGTTCCGTGTGCGGCTTTCTTAGGCTGCCGTGCGTGAGGGTGTTTTGTAGCTGCCACGCGGCCAATAAAGGTTTTAGCTACGGTCAAGTAATGGCTAAATGCTGTGTGGTGCTTCTGTGTGTGTTGGATGTATCGTACATATTTAAATGCGATGCTGATACCTGCCGATAAAAGTACTACTGATGCACAGAATCGGTATGGATGTCTTGTTATTTTTGGGAGTGGGGGTTAATTGCATTCAGAATTGGATTCATGGAATGGCACGTCTGGAAGGGCGTACAGCTGCGACTTGACGCGCTTGGAAGCGGGTAGGGCCAACACTCGAACGTCTGGATTGCTGGTCGTGTATGCCTGGGTGGACTGTAAAAGACGGCCAAGGCTTTCGCTGTCTGCTGTCTGGCAGCTGGTAGGCGCGGAGCGGAGCAAGTTGTGGTTGCCGGGGCCTGGCGCCATGTTAGAAAACGTGGACGAACGGTTGGCACGGACGATCCTGAAGATGAACGAAATCCAAGCCTAGAGGAGGCCTGCGATGTCCGCTGTCTACCCTTATCGTAAGCTTAAAGTTTAAAGTGTTGCAGTACAACGCACATAACGAGAAAAGACCAGAAGATAGGACGTTCCAAGCTCTTTCGGATTGCGGGTACATAGGGAAGTTGGCCGTTGGCAGGGCTGGTGGGCGTTGGTCCATGCTCCATGGCGTTCTCCGGAATGGAGTTGTCCCTCGCTATTACCAAGACCATTCCGACGTTGTGAAGCAGCTGTGGTTAGGTCGAGTTGTGGTATCTGTTGTTGACAAAGATTTTCAACTTCGGATGCCTTGTAAACTTCATCCTTACGAATACCTTCAATCAGGTTAGCTCCTGCTACGAGTCTATTGCCATTGCCATTTCTGTTACAGATATTGGCTGTGCTCTTACGGCCTGATCGATGAAAAGGCCGCACCGAACCAAAAGGAAAAGAAATAATGTAGTAGAGCGAAAAGGGCGGGCGACGCGGCCTCCAGGGTGGGAGGGCGGGGCGCGTGCTGAACAACAAAAACAAGATACAGAAAACCTGCAACACGCGCTATTTATGCAAAAGACGATCCTGAGGACACGGATCGCCGGCCTCAAGTCGTACCACTTAAAACGGCCGTAAGGCCCTACGCCTTAGCTAACCCGGCTCAAGCTTCGCATAGCCCGCAATAATTCACTGATACCATTATCTCATACCGAGTGCTACCGTAGTCTCAGGCCAGCTGTCAATTCGAACGTTTGTTGACATATGCCTTCCCAATAGACCACAGCATGGCTCGCTACATCAGCAGTTTGACGTGCAGCCATATGCTTGGAGAAATGCATCCATCTAGGCCAGGACTTGACGCATCACTGCGAGCCGAACTAGCACCCTGAGCAGACCGCCATACTTGGCAAGGCATCTGAGCTCGTAAAGCCAAGAAGTATTGATTCTTTTTTTGGGGCCTTGAAACTCGGCGGGAGAATCTCGCCGGGCGCGCTTTGGGATTTCCTCGTCAACGCTGGAAATGAGCTCGCGACAGCAAGGTAACCAAGGCCAATTGGGTCATAGCTGCATGCCTACCTTAATACATACTTCTAAAGATGCAGAACCTACAGCTGCCAGGCACGCAACCAAGCTTCCGCAGTTTCCTGCGCGGAGGTCCACGACAACCGTTGGGAAATCACCCTTGAGGCGGAGCAGGTACGCAAGATACATCCTATAGTATATGGAGCCTATGGACGGGCCACATGCATCTATTTAATACGTCGCTTACTTCCCCGGTCCAGGGTGGACGCCCTGCCAGGCGTGCCGCCGGCAGCACGCTCACCGGCAGGGCGTCTTGACCCATCGCAGTCAGTGCGGACAGGGGCTGAAAAGCTCCAGCAACTTGGCAAGCGCAAAGATGCAGATTCCAACAAGTATGACTCTTTCGACGACGAGGCGGGAGGCGTGGACGGATTCGAAAGCCCCCAGCTGGCGAAGGCACGCGCACAGGTGAGGGGTTACACCAGCCGCGTCCAGGTCTCAACCTGACCATCCTAAAGCCTATCTATACCGTGAACACTGTGGAGGCTGCGTCATGGAGAACTGGGTCTGTCTCCAAGTGAAGGCCTGGTGGCCCAACGGGCCCCCAGAGGGCTCGGGAACACGTTGAGCCATGCGGTGCAAGGTAGTGAGCTCGGGTTTTTGCTGCGTAGGTGGCCCGGGATGAAGTGCTATCCTACATGCACCATCGGCGCTACCAGCGCAAGGACACGGGCAAGCGAGCCATCGTAAGTCCTGCCCAAGGCGCCATCAATGGCCCTGCACCCCACGTGTAGCTGCCAACCTTGGGTACTTGGCCATCGTTAAACCCCGGGCAGTGTGCAAGTCCTGGCAGCGGACATGGTGGACAGCCACCTTTCACGGCCATATGATACCATTTGCTAGCCACTGGCCAAGGACCATCACATCCATTCAGTACCATTTTGCCACAGGAACCCCTGGCGACACCGATTCCTGACTGCCCGAGCACCTCACCGCGCAATATCCCCCTGTCATCGCGGCCGCCGCCTGTACAAAGTGCTTCCTGGTGCTCTCCTGCACCCTCTTGGTTTCCCTCCTCCACAGGCCCACACGACCGAGCCCCGCGACGATGATTCCGATTTCGACGATGATCGGACCATCGGGACGGCCACCAAGAGCCAGCCCACTCCAGACAGTGCCGGCGACCCTTCGAAGCTGTTGCAACGGGTACAGCAGGCGCTAGACAGATGGCCGCCAGGCCGGCGGACTACACAGCAGCAGCAGCACGACCACCACCACCACCACCACAGCTTCCCAGACGACGACCTCCGGCCCACCAGCGCGGATCAGTCCCCCACACGCCACGGCCGCAGCTACTTGGAGTCGTCGGGAGCCAGCTTGGTGCCTGTGAAGTCGGTGGTTGGGACTGACGAGGGGGCTGGCAGGGATATGGTGATCGTGCACCGCCCCTCGTGTGCCGGTCAAGGGCATGAGGAGCGGAGTTTGGTGGCTCGAGCGGGGGCGGGGGACATCGTGAAGGCGCCTGAGGCGTATCTCAGTGAAGGCGCGTTCTATGCGTTTAAGCGGGAGCTTGCGGCGCGGGTAATCCAGACTCACTGGCGGCGGTGGCAGGGCTGGAAGGCCAAGGTGGGTGACTGGCTTCAAGGCGGACTGGCTGGATGAATGACTGGCTGGATGTGTTTTCTGCCGGTCATGCACGGCACTGCACCACACCGCGACTTGGGAGCCCCCCTCCTCCCATGCCACAGGCTGTCATTTCGCGCTCGTGCCTGAAGCCTATCGGCCGGAGACTCGCCAGCTCTATTATTCTGTCTGCACGTTTTTACTTCAACTACACTACACTCTCCTACCCTGAGCTTGTTCCCTCCGTAACGACGACGTAACCACGTCACTTTTGCTGTAACTCTGCAATATTCAGCAGCCGTATTGGGTCGTGATGCTGGGAACCCTGTCTGTCAACTTCGCAGGTGCGCCGCGAGGCCGAGGAACGCATCTTACAGCAGCTACTGGCGGACGATTCCGGCCTCAGCCTCAGATTACTGCTAGGTCCCAGCCCCAGCAGCGGTAACAGCAAGGGTGCCGTCGGCGAGGTCGCGGACGGCGCACCATCCCGGGAGCGTATGACCGCGGAATCCATGCCGCCACAATCCACACACGCCAGGGCGCTCACCAGCGCTATCGTGCCGACCAGCCATACCCATGCGCTTCATCAGCCTGCAGGGCGGTCCTTGCAACCCGGCAGGCCTGCTAGCGGCAGCAGTGGAGGAGGAGGAGGAGGAGGAGGACCGCAAAGCAGGCCGGGGACTGTCGGCAATGTGACAGACGCGGCGGCCCGGGTCCCTGTTGTGCGTCCGGCATCAGCTGCAGCAGCCCCAGCGTTGGCCCGGGGCAGAAGCCCGGCACGTACTGCACCCGCTACCGTACCTGGCGCGGCGTCGCCGGGCCGGGGTGGGCGGCCTGGGCCTGGAGGACCGGCTGCGTGCAGGGAGGGCTGCGCGGGCCAGGGCCCGAGCTTCGACTCAGATAAATCAGCTGAGGATTTCGTCCGCGGCGCTTGCAGGGTAGGCTGGGCAGGGTTGATTGTGGGGCGTTAGGCTTATCCGCGATGGCGGCCAGTTTAAGGGCGTTTCTTGGTTTCCTTCCTGTTGCTGCTGCCTGAATTTCTGAAACCTTCTAGCTCATCTTCGGTCGCTAGCCTGGGTGTGCTTCACGCATATGGGGAGTTTGAGCTGCGTCCATGTCGCTGATGCTGCTTTACGAGCAATGGGATTAGGAGGGGTCAGCAGCACGGGTTTGCATGCAAGCTCAACTCAATCCCTGCATACCTAACACCCCTCCCGTCCCCCTAAATACACACATGCACACGCTGATTGGGTTACAGCCTTCAGAGGACAGCGTGAGGCCATGGCGGAGGCACGTTGGCGGCCACGCCGTCTACACCTTCGTCGCCACGCCACAAAAGCAGGCCAGCATTGCCGCTGCTCCGCCTGACGCTTTCCCGGCGGCAGCAACGCAGCCAGATCGCGCCGGCGCGCGCTTCACGACTGCAGAGGCGAGCATGCCACCCCGCGGTCTGCCGGAAGATCACCATGAGGCCAAGACAGCTCCGTCCAGTTACGTCACCACATCCAGGGATGACGATGACGACGCTGCAGCCGCGCCGCAGCAGGATCCGCGCCCTACGTCCTCTGGCCCGAAAGCCGGCCCTCGCCCACCTTCCCCGCCACCGCCACGGCATCACCATCAGCAGCAGCAGCAGCAGCAGCATGAACAGCAACAGCAGCCGTCCCTGGATGCGGACACCAACCCCGCCATGGCGTCCCCTACGTTGTCCGCGGCCACAGCGCAGAGCATCGGCGATTCCGTCGTGGGACTTGGCGCCTCACCTCTCACGCCCATGGCAGGCCCATCAGCCACCCGTGGCGCACCTCAGCCCGCCACTGCTGCCGCGGCATTCAAGCAATCTGATTTAGTTTCTCAGCCACAGCTGAAAGACCCGCGCCCTCAGGACGGTGAGACGCGATTTGAAGACCGTTCGCGGTGCAATGCCCGCCCGCAGCAGCCACATCAACAGCAGGACCAGCAGCAGCAGCTACAACAGCGGCCGCGCTCTGGAGCAAGTGTGTCCGAGCTCGCATCGCCGCCGCTAAGCCCGGTCAGTGGGCCAAGGCCACCCCCATTGCAGCCGGACCTCTCGCCTAGCCCGCAGCACCGAGCCCGTATGCAAGCGCTGCAGAGGCTGAAGCTGCAGGGCAGTATGCGCGGCACCTTGAAACCCAGCAGTGCAGCAGCGCCGGTGCCGGCACCGGCAATCGCATTGGCGCCACCATCACAGCCCCATCCGCCATCCGTGGCCGAAGCGGAGGAACGGCAAGGGCAAGGCCGCCATTTCTTAGACAGCCAGCCAGAACGGCAGCGTGAGCTCGGTGTTGCTGTCCCATCGGGCGAGCTACAGCAACCCCGAACACGGCGGCAGGTGTGGCTTCAGGCTGAAGAGGGCCTGGAAGAGCCATGCAGGCAGGAAAGCCGGAAAGGATATCGAGAGCAGGGCGGTTCTTCTAATAGCGGTAGAGAGCATCAGCACCAGCAGCATCCGCACCTGCAGCCGCAGAAACTTGTCCATGTTGATGTTGGTGGGGATGGGGATGTCCGTGGGCGACAGCTGCGACAGCAGCCCTCAGCATTATCAGCAGGAGCAGCAGCCAAGCGCCCAGAGCTGCGGCCAGAGCTTTCCGAGGAAGCAAGCCTGCGGTCGATGCGGGAAATGCCCAGCAGCTCGCACCAGAAATGGCCATCAGCCCTCTCGCCTTTCTGCGAGCCGCGAATTCAGGATGCTACCGTGATGACATCACCGCGGAGCTGGAACTGCGGCAACGGCCGCCTGGCCACAGCCCCTCCGCCGCGTGGCGCTCACACGGAGCAGCCGCAGCCTCCAACACGCCATGCAGATTGCTCTGTGCAGCCTTGGGAGCACGGCAAAGGAGGCTACATCGATGGCGCCGACCCCGCAGCCCCCGTGAACCCGGACTGCCGTCCTGTCTGCCGCGGCACGTCCCAACACGTGCCTCAGCTCAGGCCTTCAGGCGCCGGACGCCCGTTCTCTGCCGCAGACGCGGACGACACGAGATTGCGCGGGGCGAGTGGCGTACAGGCGGCTCCGGCGCCCAGGTCAAGTTACGCTGGTGATGAGGGCTCCCTGGAGCAGCTGGCTGTGCACAGCCAGAAGAGGCTCCTACAGCATGCCGTACAAGGACCCACGGGTCGTGAGGATGCCGTGGCGTGGCCTGAGGAGCCGGTCCAGGCCGGTGCAGGTGGCCCCGCCGAGCGTGGGATGGAGCAGATGGTAATGCAGGGGCGGGGAACTCCTGCGAGCGTATGGGGTGACGCCGCTGGTGGGGCAGCGAAGGACGCAGAGGGGGCGACGCTGGGTAACGCGGGCGATGGCGGGAAAGCACGTGGCGGCATGAGCAGCAGCAGCAGCAGCGGCGGCGCCAGCGGCGGTGGTGGAAGTGGCAAAGTGGGGCGGGGTGCGGTCAGCTGTGGAGGCGGAAGCAGCGGGGCGGGCGACGAGGACCCACGGGTCGCAGTGGATACAAGCGCGACGGCCCAGAAGATGTCGTCCATCCTGAAGTACCTGGAGGAGGTGGAGTTGCAGGTACACGTTCCGGGCCGTCGTACACCAGACCATTGTTTTTTTTCAGAGCGACGAAAATCGGGTGACCAGCCATGACTATCAACTTTTACGTAAAGCATATCCACGTAGCTTGCACGGAACTTGCATCGTGAGTGACATGCGGCATCCTCTGTGAATTTTTCCGTTCCGGCGTTGTTTTCTCCACAGGCCGAGCAAGAAGCCACCTGTGCAGCCCTGGCGCCTGCGCTGCTCGCCACGGAGCCGTCTGCTGCAGCCGCCGTCGCCGCCGCGCTGCTGCCTGGAGGCATCGCGTACACCACCCTCCACACGCAGCACCACAGCGGCTGCAGCGACGGTATCAGCGCCCGCAGCGGCAGGGGCAGCGGAGGCGGCCATGTCCGGCTGTACGGCTACTCCTCGGGGACCGCAACCGCCAACGGAACTCGCCAGGTCACCAACTCCTCACGTCCGGGGACTGCTCACACCATGGGATCGCTGATGTCACAGCAACAGGTACGGGATGGGGCTAGGGCTTATACGGCTTCGGGCCATGTCCAGCACGGACTAAATGGACTTGACTTGTCCTTTTCACTGCAGCTGAAGTAGCGGAGCCAAATCGGAAGCCCCCCGTATTTGGAACTGACCACTGACAATCGGCCTATCTGTGCTTGTGTGGGCCTTGGGGCCCCACGGGGCTCATCAGGGCTCGTTACACCTTTGAAGAGTGACACAACTCCAGGAGTTGTAACACATACATACAGTACAAATAAGTGTCAATTGGCGAAACCTTAAACCCTGCCTGAATAGTGTTATATACTAGTGTAGCATCTATGGTACGCCACCCGGGCTCCATCTTGCAGTTGCACCGCTCGCAGGCCGCACTGAGCGAGGCATGTACAGCTGCGCGCCAAAGCCGCCACCAGCATCACCAGCAGCAGCAGCATCACCACGGCCGGAGGCCACGGTCCCAGCGGCGTGGCACCAGGAGCCTTGCTGGGGATAATGGCTCCGAAACCGGCGAAGACATTGGTGGCGAGGAGTACGACGTTAGTGACAACGACGGTGACGGTGACGATGACGATGGGGTTTCTGTGGCCACCCGCACTACGGTTGCTGGCATGGCCAACAGGTGAGGAATAGCTGGGCTGGGCTGGGCTGGGCTGGGCTGGGCTGGGCTGGGCTGGGCTGGGCTGGGCTGGGCTTACGTACCTTACAGATGTAAGGTACGTAATGTAAGGGTACGTGAAGCCTTTGATTTGGCGGCTTCATTACCCTTATGCATCCCGAGTTGTTGTGGATTGTGATGAATGCATTCGGCTTTGGGAGCTTTGTAGGTCAGCAATCCTAGGCTGGCGCCGGGAGCATAGGCCCAAGCCGACATGCAATCGACGTCGCTGACCTCCTCCCCACCTTAATCCAGCTCGCTTCGGCATCGGCATGAGACAGGACCTGCTGCCTTCTTGCGCTCACCTCTCGCTTCCATTGCCATGGGGCCCCTCCTCTCCGCCGAACATTCTCTTTCGGGTGCATATGCAGATCAGCGTTCCTGGCGGAGTCGGTGTACGAGAACGTCCGAGCCAAAATCCGGCGATTAGAGGCGCGTGCGTGGCGGGTGGATGGGGTGGGACGGGCGTCTTGAGTTGGGTAACGGGAAACGGTGCAACCGGGCCTCCGTACCAATTCCACATGTCAATATAATAATAACTCGGCCATGTTCCAGCACACGTATGGCAGCAGGCACACCTACCTACGGCTCTTGCACCCTAGAGCGGTTGTACCGTGAGTAGAGTGCGCTGCGGCGTAAGTGTTGCCATAGGATAATGCCATGTTTTCCCCCGACGCTGCCGTTGCCGTTGCCAATGCCAGCCACGGCCTCTTTTAGCTTGCCCTGCCCCTGCCCCTGGCTGTGGTCGTGGTTGCGCTCCTGCACCCACTTAGTTGTCGACCGAATATGCTTCTTCAACCATTGGATGCAGGATGCAATGGTTTGCAGTGGATAAAATAGTTCAAATGTTCAAGTAATCTGTGAAAAATCTTATAAGGACATTTTGCAATTAGAGATCTGCCCACCATCCGCACTGACCTCGCGCAGGACGACATCAAGCAACGGGACGCACGCATCAACGAGCTCTCCCAGGTAATCGATTGATACCAAGCCCGGGGGCCCACAGAACCTGCCCAATTGCGGTTCTACGGTGTATCATATGCAGGGTGCGATAGGTCCCCTCGCATGCACGTTCCCTTAGGTCTATCATGTTCTCCAAAGGAGTCACCCCACTCACTCAATTAATCAACGCGGCATCCCGGTTCACATCCCACTCTCCCCTCCGTTCCACTCTATCCCTAGGATGTTGAGTCCCTGCAAGCTGCCCAGCGCACCTGCCTGCTGGACGCGGACGCGCGCCTCACGGAGATGCTGGCGGCTCAGCGGGCCGAGTACGAGGCGGCTGTGTCCCGCCACATGGCCTTCGTGGACCGGCTGCTGGCGGACAAGGAAGCGCTGTCCAGCCGGGCGCAACAACTGGCGGAGCAGGTCAAGGTAGGGCCTGGGGCGGAGGGAGCCTCCCTCTTAGGGGTTTGGGTAAAATACCTGCCTGAATGATTGCTCCCAGGCGCTATGTTCCAAAATAAAGTCAAACACCTGTTAATTCAGCCGTCCTAGCATCTTACGATAGAATCCAGCTAAATTATACCCCGAAAACCGCTTCAGGCAGTTTCGGGGTGCCCGAAAAAACTGTCAGGCTGACAGGAAAACTTGCGGGAAGGGCCCCGAAAGGTTATTCAGAGGGTTTCGGACACGACCGTAATTCTTGGGTGCCCTGGTGAAGAACCCTGGAGTGAGGGTTTGGTATCGTATGTCGCATGGTGGGAGCTCGTCGATAGAGTGCCCGAGATCGTCGGACCATGCATGGTCTAGACGGGCCGAAGACCATGTAAGGTTCGACATGCTAAGGAAGATTCGACGAATAAGTAAAGAAAAGGAAACGGTTTGGGAGAGTTGGGAAGGCTTGGGGTGGCTTGCGGAGAGCTTGCAGCTCCTAGAAGCGAGAGTTGTTCTCGCCTGTTGTGTTGCAAGGCCCACAAGCAATTCACCACCACCACCACCACCACCACTAATAGTGCCATCGCCATACGCCCACGGGACATGGAGTCTTCCTGTTGCACGGGACGGAAGCGCGGAAATTCCAAGTGGAAATTCTGGACACACATGTGCACACGAACAAAACATGCATTCGTGATGTGGGCGGGGCCGCGCGGGAATCTCAGGGTCGCGATAGGGAAAGGACCTGACAGTCTCTTTTCCAATCGAAGTGCTGCTGCTGCTGTTGCTGCCGTTGCCGTTGCTGTCTCTCCATCTCCGTGATGCGCTTCGGCGCCGCCACCGCTGTCGCGCGTGGATTCATCACAACATGCGGCCTCGCGTAGTCCGTGGATGAGCGACAAGAGCGCGCCATCGCCAAGCTCAAGGAGGGCTGGGCGGCAGAGCTCAAGCGCCAGAAGGAGAGCTGGGCGGCAGCGGAGAAGCAGCGGCGGGAAGCGTGGATGCAATCCAAGGCGACGGAGATAAAGGACATGACCGTCAAGGGACTCGAGGGCGAGGTAGGGCCAATACGGGACATTGCCGCCTTCCAGGGTCTGAGAGGAGAGGAAGAAGGGATTGACGCATGGGAAGGCAGGGCTCAAGCTCCTTAAAAGCGGGCCGTTTCAAAAGCCAGAATTCGGCTGACAGCTGTGCGTTCGTTGCTTGCTATTAAGCACTTCACTCTCCTGGTCTTACCGCAAGTCCACCGCGGAGGAACGTGAGGAAGGACTTTGAAGGGGTGCGGGAGTTCACCCTTTACGGCATGTCCACCCTTTACGGCGTCTCCGCACGTGTCATCACTTGAGCTTGGCAGGCGCCTCTCTACCTTTTGGAACGCTGAAGACGCACACCCTTAATATCTCTGCCCTTGCTGCACGGCATTATGGATCCATGAATCCATACAGTGCCCCGCAAGGATTGTCGCCTCCGCCATGCTCCTGTATGAGTCTGTGTAATTCTTCATGACTGGATATGACCCATGGGACCGTCCACAACCGACGAGGATGCGCCTGTCTGCCTCGGCTGTCCCCGGTGTGCGCAGGTCCAGAAGCTGCTCGCGCGGCACCGTGCGGAGCTGTCCGCCGCGCAGCAGGCCGCGGCGGAGGAGGCCAAGCGCCACTTGGACGCCTACGTGGCGCAGAACGAGGTCGCCGTGCGGCAGGTAAGTACGGCCGTGCAAAACATCCACAACGATTAGTTAGTAATCATTGGTGGATGGGAAACCGTTACTTTTGCGCTGTACTGCGTGTACTGCGTGAGCTAGGGTGATGAGGTAAAGAAATGGTGTGAACAACAGGGAACAAGGTGACGAGCTGTTAATGGGGCCCGCACCTCGATGCGGTTATTCCTGGCGCGCCTCGAGTCTGGACATGTACATGCAACTATGATTCCAGCTGAATGCAAGTAGGTCGGGGTGACTCTGGACATGTACATGCAAGGCCCCCGGGGTGGTGATGCACGCAGCATCCAGGATAGCTGCGTGGCCACGGCTCGTGAACACCTCCAGCCGCACTGCCCCAGATACAATATGTACCCCAACTCACCCCAACACCAACCTCAACCCCGGTACTGCACTGCCACATCAGCACCTTGGCAACTTCGTCCCTTAGTGAGAACTCACACAGCCGTCGCCGGCACGTGAACGGCACGCCCTCCTCAGCTCAAGGAGCGAATGTCCCGCGAGGCCGAGGAAGCGGTGGAGAAGGAGCGGGCCTCTGCCGCCACACGGCTACGGGAGGTCAGCGAGCGCTATGAGCAGCAGCTGCAGGTATGCAGGCAGAGGGTGCGGGGAGCTGTGTACAACTGGTTTCAGCGCTTAATGTATGCGTTGTAGCATTTCCCTTTGCTCTGGAATGGAGAGCGCGCGGATGAGTGCGCACAGCAGCCAGTGTGTGAGGCCGGGTGTACCACCAGTGTACTACTTGAATTAAGGACGTGCATGCATTAGGGTTTTTGCACACAGCCTAGGGTTAATCGACCCCGGCGTGGTAGGCACAAGGGAATCCTCGGCCAAGGGAAAGGAGGGATCAGTTGCTCACATGATCAGGACGCCGCCCTCGAAACCCCTAATAAGCACACTTGGCTGCGTCTACTGGCAGACGTCTACTGGCAGACGTCTACTGGCAGGCAGCTTTGCAAGCAAATTGTTCCTTGGCCGACACCCGAACGCAGTCGTTTTTTCCACGTCCTTGGTGGTGAACCTTTTAATTTTGTAGCTGTGTCTGTGGGGTATGTCCGTGCGGCCCTGCAGACGCAACGCATGCGGCTGGTGGCGGATGCCGACTTGAGGCTAGAGCAGCTGGAGCAAGCCAGGTGGGGGGGAACCGCATGAGGGTTTGTGTTGGCGAGGTTCATGGTGGTGCGAATGGGAGATGCCAGGGGAGCTGATCCCTCTTACATTCCTCCCCCCCTCGAGCGAACGTCCTCGGGCGCCCCCGGGCATATCCCGTAGGATTAATATTGTTTGAGATCCCGTAGGATTGTGAGTTTGGGTGTTATTGACATTTCGTCAGTCCCCGTCCGAGATGGGGCCTTTGTTTATACTCAGCTGGTAGACTTCTCGCCCACCCGGGCATCCACCTTTGGGGTAAGAGTATGCTGCATCATGCCTGATGTGCAATATGTTCGCAATCGGATTCGATCCGGGGAATTCCCACCTCCTAGCAATTCGCACCAATGTAACACCAGGCAAAGAGTACTCAGTTGGGAGATGCCAGGGGAGCTGATCCCTCTTACAGGCGCCGCTACCAAGTGTTCGTAAATCTGGCAAGCAACCTTAGCTGGGTGGCAAATGCATGCTGTACGGTTGTTTGCAACGTCGGCCTGTTCGAAACGCGTTGCCTTTGCTCGCCGCGATTGCTTTTGCTTGCGTTGCCTTTGGGCCCCTGCAGCGTTGTCTTTGCTTTGCCGGCTGCTTTGCTTATATTGTACTATGGTCTTGGTCGCAGTGGCTGCACTGTATTTCACCTTTTGCTTCTTAGGTCAATGTGTGTCGTATCAACAGCCATAGATACAGTACTCCCATTTGTGGGGCCCGCCTTGGCGGCGAGCTGGTTGTGGTTGCAGCATCTCTTCATCTGCAACCCCTCCGCCACCCAACTCCACCCAACTCGCCCCACCTCAACCACCTCAGGAAGGAGGATAAGAAGCGCTACGAGGAAGCAATCGCAGCGGCTAAGGAGGCGGGCGAGGCCAGGCTTAAAGAGGCCGAGGAGGACTGGAAGCGGGAGAAGGAGGCGGTGCGCAAGGCACACGAGAAGCAGGCAAGAAGAGCGATGGAGAGCGTGGCGGGCTCTGACCCAACCTCTGAACGCAACTGCGCCTTTGTGTGTGGCGTCCGGGACTTGAGCGAGGGTCGCTATAAGCATCAGCTGTTGGGACCCCTCGCGCTGGCTTTCCGCTGTTGCAATCCCTTTTAGCTGTAGGGCCGCTGTTCTGTTAGCGACTCGGGCTCTGGTATGCACTTGCCTGCCCCAGATCGACGCCCTTCGCGAACAGTACGAGACGGGCCAGGAAGGGTGGCGGGCCGCCATGGCGGAGCGAGCCCGCAAGGAGGTTTCGGAGCGTGTGGCGGCCATTCGAGAGAAGCTGCTGCAGGAACGCAACGAGGAGGTGCAGGTAGGTCCTTGCGTAAATTGCCCTGAAAGGCTTCGACCTAGAAAGATTTGCTGTGTGTTCGTGACTTCTGGACGGTGGGTTGCGACCATCAGGGTGGGTGCGCCAAGCGCTGGTAGATTCGTCCGATGGTTTCTTCGGTGGTGTCATGCAGGCTGTCATGACTCGCCTGGAGGCCGAGCATGCCTCCACGGTTGAGGCCCTGAAGGAGGACTTCCGCCGCCGCGAGGAGGCGGCCGCGGCCCGTGCAGCCTCGTCGCTGAAGGAGGCCCGCAGAGCAGAAGCCAAGATGGCGGAGCGCTTCCGGAACGCTGGCGTGGCGACCAAGGTGAGGGCACATCACCGCACGAGGGGGTTGGGGTGGGGTGGTACAACGGCGGATTTGCGGGTGCTGGGTGCGGACTGTCATCACTCTCTTGAGTTTGTGAGTGCGGCACCGGTGGCATAAGGCCTCCCTTGCCCGTCCGTCACTGCTGGCGGCCTCAATGGCCTTCCCTGCCTGCCTCCCGCGGGGCTGCTAGTACCTATCGCTCCCGTTTTATCTGCAGCTCCCTGTGTCGCTTTACCCCATCAGCCCCCTTTTCGCTATCCATCCTGTTGTCCATCCTGGTCCCAGGCTGCTGAAGAGCGGCTGGCAGCCAGCGAGCTCACCATCAGCGACCTGCGTAGGGAGCTGGAGACACGGAACAACACCATCCGCTGGCTGGAGTCACAGGTGCCCCGGGACACTTCTTTGGGAAGTGAGGGAAAGAGGAGCCTGTTGGGGCTGGGGCCACTGCACTTTGAAGCGCAGGCCTTAGCCTGCCAGGTTCCCGGATAATGCAACCGTTCGTGTGGCAGGTTTGTGGTTGGGTGGTGTCTGCGGATACCTCATGTTGCTATCGCTGTGTCACTGGGGGTTGGACCGTGTTGCCATCTGCATGCCTGTGCAAGGCTGCATGGGATCAGTGGATGTGTATGGTGGTGCTGGAATCCAGGACGGCACGTTGCACAAACAGGGATGGAGGGGGCGATGTAAGTTTAAGGGGGGAGGGAGTTTGTGAGAGCCCGTATGAGCCGACGGGGACGATGGTCAACCGAAGCTCCCCTAACGAACCCGGTCGGCTGTCCAGGTATCCTCCGCGAAAGACGAGGCAGTTGCCCGCGAACGCGACGTGCGGTCACTGGGCGACGAGAAGGCGGCTGTGGCTGCAGAGGTAGCGGCCGCAGTGGCGCGCGACAAGCAGCAGGTGGAAGCACGGCTGGCGCAAGCGCAGCAGGTGCGTGCGGCGAGGAAGGGGATGTTGTACTGATGTTCCCCTTCCTGCGTAATACCAGCGGAGGGAGGCTAGGAAGGTTTCAACACTAGAGGCGGTTACAGACGTGCAAACCCCCCATGAAGTCCACAGAGGGCGCGGTTCACACCATGAAGACATGCAGTTGTGTGCATATGTTTGTGTCCACAAAGGATGCATGTTGTACAGCCAACCGCCAGTATCATTACAAATCTCCAAGGTCTCTTTAGCTTTATTGTCATGTGGTTGCGGCCGCTCTCCGCAGGAGAATCAGGAGCTCCGAAACCGGCACGCAGCGGAGATGGCGGCCGTGGAGGCGCGCGTCAGAGCTACCCTGGCGCGCAAGGAGGAGGTTATCAGCGGTCTGCGGGAGCAGGCGGCAGCCATGGCAGCAGAGCTGCGGGACACGCAAGAAGTGCTGCGGCAGCAGCAGGAAGAGTTTGGGAGCGACCTGGACGGCGGTGCATCGGCTGCGGCGGCGATAGTGCCAGTCGTGGCTGCCGGGCGTAGCATGTACAGCGAGGCGAGTGCAGGCGCAGGCGCCCGGCGAGGGGGGCGGCACTGAGAGGTGACGGGGGAGGTGCCGCCCCGAGAATAGAGAGCACAGCTGCGGGAAGTTAACCGGGCGGATTATTGAGCGCGTTGAGGGAGAGGGTTTTTGCGGAAAGGTGAACTTGCCTGTGAAGATAATGAGCTACTGTGTGTGTGTGTGGGGGGGTGTTGGTCATGCATTCCGATTTGCTCCTTTGATTGCCAACTGATCTTAAGGTTTCCATACACAAGTGCGTCAAACGAAAGAACAGGTGGACTTTCATCTGTCTTAACCTGCGCGCGGGCAGCTGTGCATTGGTTATCGGGCCACCAGCCCTGAAGGGAAACAGTACTACCGTCTTTACACCGCATGCGCTGAATGAGCGACGGCGCGCATTTTACTTGGGATGAAATGTGGGACTGTGCTCGCTCCGTAAAGGACAGCGTATGTGGGGCTGCTGCGTTGCGTTGGCGCTGCGTACGGCTAACGTGTGGCGAGCGTTGCTGCTGTGATTGGCTGGCACTGTCAGAGAGGCTAAAAGTGCGTGAGCTTAAGAACTTAAGAACTGGGGGCCAATCGTGTGCACGATACTTGCAAACTGCGACACTTTTCGCTCGTCTCACTCGTCTAATATCATCCTGTGGGGGGCTAAACATTTTAACCAACACAGCAAGGCGGCTGTGGAACGTAACGACGTATGCGTGTACCTGCGCCGTAACGCGCTGTAGGGTCACTTAGAGTTGCCTTTATCCGGGCAAAAGCGGGCTTCCTTACGAGCACTGCTGTGCCCCTACGGAGAGTCACAGGTTTGTTCCTGGTCTTTCGGATTCCCCCCTCAGGCTACGTCCATCCTGGTTGCCATCTCACCTAGTAAAGTCGCTGCACACAGTCCGCAATGCTTCCTGCCAAAATCTACTCTGCCTTTTCAACTCACATACACACATATACACGTGCGCGCGCACACACTCTCACCACAACCACCCAGGCTCAATCTCGGCCAAACAATGAAGGGTTTTAGGCACCCTGCGCACACATACACGCTCAGGTATGCGCAACCCACGACGGTCACAAGCAGCATGTAACCAGGCAGCACCACATGTGCTCGCTCAGCAGCCCTGTCAGTCAACCTGCTTGCCAACCTGTCAATCTGTCAGGAGTCATTCATTCCTGGCCATCGCTGCCGGCGTCCCGGCCGCCGGTCTCGCCCTCTGGTCTGCTGCCTCCCTGGACGGTATCGACACCCTCTATGGTAGAATAGCCCACTGCGTCGGTGGCGGCGATGCCGGCCCCAACATCGGGGCCTCGCTGGCCAGCACGTGGCATGAGCTGACCGGTGGTTGCGCGAACCGCACCTGACTCCTGAGGCGTGCCGCTGATATGGTAGTCCTCCAAAAGCTGAACCGGGCGCTCGTCGGCCATGTTTAAGGATGCTTAAGCGCCGGGTCTTGACTCTTTTGGTCTTCTCCTCGTGTTTTTCTCAAGTTTCTGGCTTAGATTTGTTGTTTAAATCGCGTTTAAGAGGAAAAGATGAAGTGGGTGGTTTTTGATGTTCCGCGAAGACGGCTTCCATTTGCTGCGCCAGGCTCGCTGAATTCAGTTTTTGCCCGCGTACGTCATTACCTTGGTCATCACCGCTCGTCGCAGATTTGCGCGAAAAATCGTCGGTAGGACTTCACGCCTCGCCATCCCCTTGCGGTCTCCCAAAACTAGCTTTATTGCAGGCATTCGCTCGTCGCATCTTCAACCAGCTTTGAGGATTTTGTGCGGCCAGGTCCAGCTTTGTCATTATCACAGCTACCAACCACACCATGTGCGCTTTCCAGCATTTTGAACGTCCCGTCCTGAGACAACAACAATAATAACGGTAAAATTGGCGAGGTACCTACGCCGGCGGGCTTCTGCAAGGCGACGGCCTCGGGATCAAAAGTGCGACGGGCATCGGCGCCGCGGGCACCACCACTGCTGGCGATGGCCCCGGCTTGGCCAACGACAGCCGCAGCGGTGACGGGGAATAGTAGGTAGGACACAAGGTCGGGGAGAGCAATTCTTTGGACTGCCCCGGTCGCACAATTCCTGTGCTTCCCTAATTCGACACCCCGAACAGGCCAATTCTGACTGTCCGAATGTCCCTGCCAGGCCAATTTGTGTCCCTGTCAGGCCAATTCAAGGGGCTGTCCCGGCAATTCAACTTGTCCCAGGTGTAGACCCCGTGCCAATTTCAACCCTTCTACCGAGCAATTTAGACCAATCGCAGGGTCTGCACCGAAACTCTCAGGCAGGCATCCAGAATCGGGGGAGTTGAAGGAACTTTATGAAACTCTGTAAGGGAAGCACTTACAAATATCTCTCGTATGTTTGTTGGTTGCAAACCCGAACATGGGGCAGGAAGTGGCAGGAACCCCACACGCCTTGTTACCGTACTCCGTACTGATTCATTCATACATTCATTCTGTGTGTGTGTGTGTGTATTCAACGTAAAGTTACCATCACCCGAACTGACCAGAACCAAAGGTGTGTCTGCATGGCAAGCCGCTGACAATTCTAACACCCCATTTATTCATTCATTCATTCATTCATTTGTTTGTTCAGACAAACAGACATATCCACACGCCTTGTCTTGCACTGTGCTTCAGTCCTGCTAAGGGCCCCCTGCACTGTACCATATGACATGTGTTCCACAAAAAGATACCACCACCCGAACTGAACCAAACCAGGGGCATGTTAACCACACTTTTCATTCGTTCATTCATTCATCCATCCATCCATCCAACTATTCATGCGGATGAAGAGATGTAAACACACACCCTGCCCTGCACTGTGGTGTGGCCCAGCACAGTGTAGCACCCCATTCATTCAGTGTAGGAAGGTCTCCTTTTGAGTGCTTTTGATTCGACACCTGGACTTCGATCGGTGCTGCCCAAGTCCAATGGCTACATCCATGGCGGCCAGCACTTCGGCCGGCACACATTCTTTGACCTTTTGTTGGCACGGCTGGTGTTTCTGTGTTAAGCCGGCATCAGCCCCCTTGCGATGGGAGGGCTTCTTCAATGTATGTCGTGTTGTGCCACTGTCCTCCGTGTCCGCCAGCTCACCTCCATCAAGCTGCCAGTTGTAGCTGACACAATAGCTGCTCAGCTCCTGCACCAAACACACATTGCTGAGTGTAATGGCCGAAAATACTAAACACAAGGAACCAAACACTGTTTTCTTTTCAGCCTTACTTGCACCTGTGTGCTCCCAATGAAAATCTCCTACCTGTTCACTCTCCCTGTCCAGCTTCACGATGCTCCCTCCAGGCAGGTCCGGCCCGGGTCTTACACCCATGATCTGGACCAGGTGATTTGTTGTCCACCGGTCATTTGGGTTGCACTGGAAGTGGTGTGGCAAGTAAAACTGTTGCTCCCCCATCTCATGGTCTAGTGTTTGGAAATGTGTAATGGATGCATGGGATCAATGGCATGAATGCAGGCATCATACAAGTGTCGTGCCAATAACTGGCTCAAGGCTTACCTTTTCCAGCTGGTTCTAGCAGCCGCAAGACCATATCTCCCGAAGGGTCATCCACCATGAGCCTGGTGGCACTCTGAAGTGAACACCGTCCATCTTTTGTTGAAGCATGGTTGCACAAGAGGACACATGCATGTTGTATGGTGTGCATCGGAAGTAGAGGTAAGCCTTGAGCCAGTTATTGGCACAACACTTGTATGATGCCTGCATTTATGCCATTGATCCCTTGCATCCATTTCACATTTCCCAACACTAGACCATGAGATGGGGGAGTGACAGCTTTACCTGCCACACCACTTCAAGCACAACCTGAATGACTGGTGGACAACAAATCACCTGGTCCAGATTGTGGGTGTAAGACCTGGGCCGGACCTGCTTGGAGGGAGCATCGTGAAGCTGGACAGGGAGAGTGAACAGGTAGGAGATTTTCATTGGGAGCAAGTAAGGCTGAAAAGAAAACAGTGTTTGGTTCCTTGTGTTTAGTATTTTCGGCCATTACATTCAGCAATGTGTGCTTGGTGCAGGAGCTGAGTGTAACAGCCGTCTCTTACCTTAGCTGTTTTAGCGGAAGTAGAGGGTCTCGTCCACGATTGGCGACCCAGCGTTAGGCGTGAGAAGAGACAAGGGAAGTCGGGATTCGAAGACATACGTCGAGAACGGTGACAGCAAGGTCTTGAACCCTGAACACTAGTATAGTGATACGTTAAGTGTCTGGCCGAAGCACTTCACCTGGGTGGCTTAAATGCGGCCCACCTGCCGCCATCTCCATTCCTGGAGTCTTGGTGCCGTACGCTAGGTTGTGATAGCGTACCAGAAAGTGAGTTCGTACAGTTAACGAGTATGGTTCGTAAATACGGGACCGTACCGTTACTGTGATTAAGCTTTAATAGCTTAAAGATATTCTAAGGTAAATGTAGCTTGCTACACTGAGCAGCTCTTAAGAGCTTGTGTCAGCTACAACTGGCAGCTTGATGAAGGTTAGCTGGCAGACACGGAGGACAGCGGCACAATGTGACATACATTGAAGAAGCCCTCCTGTTGCAAGGGGGCTGATGCTGGCTTAACACAGAAGCGCCAGCTGTGCCAACAAAAGGTCAAAGAATGGGTGCCGGCCGAAGTGCTGGCCGCCATGGATGTAGCCATTGGACTTGGGCAGCACAGATTAAAGTCCGGGCGTCGAATCAAAAGCACTCGAAAGGAGACCTTCTTATACTGAATGAATGGGGTGCTACACTGTGCCGGGCCACACCACAGTGCAGGGCAGGGCGCGTGTTTACATCTATTCATCCACATGAATAGTTGGATGGGTGAATGAATGAACGAATGAAAGGTGTGGTTAACATGCCCCTGGTTTGGTTCGGTTCGGGTGGTGGTATCTTTTTGTGGAACACATGTCATATGGTTGAGTGCCGGGGGCCCTTAGCAGGACTGAAGCACAGTGCAAGACAAGGCGTGTGGATATGTCTGTTTGTCTGAATGAACGAATGAATGAATGAATAAACGGGGTGTTAAAATTGTGAGCGGCTTGCCATGCAGACACACCTGCAGGTTCTGGTCGCTTTGGGTGATGGTAACTTTTCGTTGAACACACATACATATATACACACATAAGCAGGCGGCTGGCAGAGGTTAAGGCCTGACTTCTGCTCCCAGAATGACCGGGTTCAAATCCATCTGCCGACTTTTCGGGTGTTTGAGAAGTGTGGAAGTGGGAGGTGGCCCCCATCTTATGGACGATGTAGGACGTGATAATATCAACTTGCGAGCTAACCAGGAACTAAGTTGAGGTGCTGTTGATCCGCTAGCTTTGGTCAGATGCTGATGGTGAGTTGCTGAACCCAACGAATACATTCTGAAGTCAGATGGGGTGAACAGATTAGGGTGCTCCTCTATTAGGGGAGAGCAGGGAACTGCCTCAGGAAAGGGGGCCGCTGGTGAAGCTTAACCACCCTGTAACGACATACACACAATCAATGTGTGAATGAATGAGTACAGAGTACTCTTACAGAGTACGGTATCAAGGTGTGTGGGGTTTCTGCCACTTCCTGCCCCATGTTCGGGTTTGCAACCAACAAACATACGAGAGATATTTGTAAGAGCTTCCCTTACAGAGTTTCATAAAGTTCCTTCAACTCCCGCGATTCTGGATGCCTGCCTGAGAGTTTCAGGGCAGACCCTGCAATTGGTCTAAATTGCTCGGTAGGAGGGTTGAAATTGGCACGGGTCTACACCTGGGACAAGTTGAATTGCCGGGACAGCCCCTTGAATTGGCCTGACAGGGACACGAATTGGCCTGGCAGGGACATTCCAACAGTCAGGATTAGTCTGACAGGGACACGAATTGGCCTGGCAGGGACATTCCGACAGTCAGAATTAGCCTGTCAGGGTGTCGAATTGGCCTGGCAGGGACATTCGTACAGTCAGAATTGGCCTGTTCGGGGTATAGAACTAGGAATTGTGCGACCGGGGCAGTCCAAAGAATTGCTCTCCCCGACCTTGTGTCCTACCCTCTAGGTGTCGCCCTGCGCTGTCCGTTCATGAAGAGCGGGGCTGCTCATCAGTTGCGTATACTGCAAAACTGATGTAACACCGAAAGACCGGAATATTAAATGGTTGTGCGCAGGGGCTCAGGCTTTTGTGATGCTTGGTATGTTTCAGGGCTTCTCATCTAGCCACGCCAGCGCCAGTGTTACACCGTGCCAGGCGGCAAAGAGGCTTCATTGTTTAATCGCGTGTTCGCTGGGGATTGGGGAGCATTTGGGATTGCGTTAGAGGTAGCAGTGCTTGTGCGCATCAAGGACGTGCAGCAGCCGGGGCGCAGCCCTGTCTCGTACGGATGTCCGACATCTTCCGGAGCGCTCTCTAATGCCAAGCAAACGCTTACACAAAGATTGAAAACTTTTACTTAAGAGCAGTTTTACATCGGATCCTGTGTCTGCCTCTATCGCTTCCGGTATTCGGTTGCCATCATAGGAACCTTCTGAAAAAAAAGGGCAACCGCAGCCTTGGCATCGTTTAAGCCTCTTCCCCGATAAATAATTATAACGATGTCGGGAGACGCCCAGTCTCTTCTAGCTGTAGAGGAAGCAGCAACTACTGCACCGAACAAACCTTCCGAAGATTCCACCAGCGGCGGGGCATCAACATCGTCCGAAGAGGTGGCCTTTAAGATTCAATTTGGAAAGAACAGCTCGGACGTGAAGCGGCCGTTTGATTCTACGGTTGGCGACTTGAAAGGTGGCGTGTCCATTGGGCGGGTTTCATGGCAAATGCTCTCGTATGGTACCGTATTCGTCTTATCCAGCCAAGCATGAGAAACTTAGCGGTTACTGAGTATTTGGCTACAGTTTTATTACCCTTTGCTCACTCTGGCAAACCTTGAAGGTTTGGACTCTCTAGCCATCTGGTGACCCGTCGACCCTTCCCAACCCACGTTACCACCCAACCCCCCGACGCCACCAAAGGTGAAATCGAGAAACAGCTGGGGATACCATCCAAGCTTCAAAAGCTGATGTGCAAAGGAGCAGCCCTGAAGGACGACGCGGCGACACTTCGGCAGGTAAGAGGCGCAGGCTCTTTCTACAACACTGGGCTTCGGTATCCTCGGCAGCTGCAAATGCTAACAAACCCTCGCGGAGCTGTCTCTTACTCAAAACCGCGTCCGCGCTTATTCATTCCCTTCATAAGGATGAGACCCTCCCATGAAAATCCAGGGAAAAGGTCAAGCAAGGGTCTCCTAGCGCCAACGGAGCCTCCCGAGCCCGTCGATATGTGGCCCCAACGTGCACCCTTCCAGCACGCATCTAGCGCGCGTGCGTGCGTGCGTGTGTGTGTGTGTTACACCTTGAGTTGCGTTACCCTCCGAAGGTGTGAACCGCGCTCTGCTTCATAGCCCTCCCCAAATGCCGCATCCCCTATTATCCCAGGCCGGCATCAAGGACGGCAGCAAGCTGCTCCTCATAGGCAGCAACCCCACGGCGGTGGATGCGGCCAAGGCAGCTGCCGCGGGCGCCGGTGCGGGCGGCGAGTGGGATGCTCCCAAGACCGAGGAGCCCATCCACAAACAGACGCAACACGCCAAGGTACGTGACTGCTGCTACCGCTGCGTGGCCCGCCATCCGCTGTAGCCGCTGTAGCTGCTGCTGTTGGTATTTGCGCGATGTTGTTGCCGATGGCAATCCAACTGCTTCAAATAGCATGTCGAAAGACCGCATTAGCGATGTTGTGCAGAAAGAAACCCAAGCAGCCAACAACGGTACCCACGACCTTCCTCACCTTCCCCTCAACCCCGTCATCCCCCCTTTTATCCTCTCCATTCACCCATCCTCCACCACTACTACGCGACTACGCGGCTGCAAAGGTTCTCGCCAAGGGGGTCCCCGACGGCGCCCTGCCGGGCCTCGCGGGTCGCCAGGTGCCCCTGGACGACAAGCTGACCGCCATCCCTGGACTGCTGGACAGCCAGGGCAGCAAGGTGAGGCGGTGCTGATATGTCGGCGTCTGTGCGTGCACACGTGGGTGGCTGGGGGGTTCTGCAAATTTTCAGGCCTCATTCGGGCTGGGGGCCAGAGGCGATGGCTAAGCACAGACAGAGGCTCACACAGGGGAACACAGCGTGTTCTGCTGTACCTGCTCGGTTGGTGCACGGTTGGGTTAAGAGGGCACAGAGGGCACAGAGGCAATAGGTGTTGGGTCATTGATGGTCCGGGCCTAAGGGTGTCAAAAACACACGGAAGGAGGCAAACAAGATACTCAGCTCAGATACACCTTCTAGGTCTCCTCTCGTGGGTTCTCCTTTCTCTTCTGCTTCTCCCTTTACCGGGATACGTGGCCATTTCCTTCCCTCCCGCTTTTTCCCTCCCTCCCTCCCTCCTCCCTCCACCCGCCCCCATACCGCCAGGTTCGTATGACGTTCAAGACGGAGCTCCAGCAACTGTGGCTGGGTTCGGAAGCTACTACGCAGAAGGGTATGCGACCTCAGTGTGGGCCCGACCTCGACTCTGGACAAGTCGTCCCTGTCCATTTTGTGCACGTCTGGGTATTGTGCAACCTATTCCGTCTTCCGGTCTGCTCCTTTGTCCCGTCAGCTGGCGCGCTCGTACGTAATGCCGTGGTAGCGGCGCGAGGTCATTTGCATGCGCTCGCCCTCTTTTCTTCGTTCGGCCTCTTAGTGTTGCGCATGTATTTGGCATGTTCTTGGGCTTTAGGCTTCCCACGCCCGTAAAGCGCATCTTAACGGCATGGAAGAGTTTCGCGCTCCCGGCTGAAAAGCATACCCCACAACCATACCACCACTACACACGCAGAGCAGCTGCTGTGACCCGCCTGATGCCCAGCCAGATGTCCTCCTCCTCGTCCTCCACCTCCTCCTCGTCTTCCTTTTGCTCCCTGACGGCTTGCATGCTTTCCTCCACACGCCGATTTTTCCACATGGCTCCCGTGCTTGTGACTCGTCACAGTGCCGTACGGTACGATCGGCAAGATCGAGTCTTGGCCCATCGAGGGTAATGAGGGCTACTCCGTTGTGGCGCTGCACCTGGGGGCGGGGGGCACCTCGAAGTACTGGCTGTACTACTTCCCGTCGCAATACGTCGCAGGGCTCAAGATCCGGATCTTGGGCGTTGAGTCGCTGCTATGAGGGTGAAGCAGCCCCCTGTCTCTCTCTCTCTCTCTCTCTCTCTCTCTCACACACACACACACACACAAAAGCACACAAAAACACCTTGCTGCTGTTCACAAAGGACAAAGGCGCACATGACTCCCCATACGCCATTAAATATAAAACATTCTGGGCTAAATGGAAAGTTTGAGGTTTTTTATTTTCACGACACGATTGATTTTACGGCAGTGATTGTCGCACTCGGTCAGAACAGGTGTGCAGGATGCAATGCTTGGGCATTACGGAAACAGGACAGTGCGGCAGGCAGCAGCAAAAGTAGTAATTAGGACGATTGCACCGCTAGCAACAACGTACGTCTTCTGCCTTAAGAGTATCTACCTTTAGGAAAACGGATGAATGATGTCGTGAAAATGCCGCGCGCACTCCGGGAGCCGGCAGATAGTGCCTTACCATGTGCCGTCAAGGGTAAGTGGAAGGAAGGCAGAGGCGAAGAGCGGTTTGCATCGGATGCACCCTGCATGTGTTGGCGGTCCCCGGGTGCACCTGGCTTGGGAGTTGTTGGCAGTTGCTGTTGCTGTTGCGGCGGCAGCTTGGCGTGTGCGTTTCGAGCACAGTAGATAGCAGCGGCTGTGGCTGTGGCGGCTACAGTGGGGTGCCCTTTTGGGTTGTATTGAAGTTTTCTGTGCACGGGAGGCTTGTCCTGGCCGACACGGAGGCGCAGATAGTGGGGTTATTTTCGGCTCTAATCGCTGTGGTGGTTTCGGTTGCTGCTGTAGCTGCTTTGGGTGGTGTTCAGCACGCGCGCTTCTTGCTGCTTTAGTAGGTTAAGCTGGAGGAGAGAATGTCTTGCTGCGGCAGCAGCAGTAGCAGCAGTAGTAGCTACTGAATGGTTGCTGATGTTATGGTGCAGTAATCAATACGCGCTAGGCATGTATAGCTCTGAGGAAAACGGTTCCATGCGGCTTGCCACGTAATGCTTGCGTTTGCCTAAGTTGCTACCCGATGAGGAACTTTACTAGATGCTTTAGGAGGCACTGATGTCGTACGGGGGACTTGGTGTTAAGGCCCATACGGGAAAGGACTCCTCAGCTTCAGCTGTCTCTCTTATTGCAAGGAACGTTGCCTTGATGCCCGGCAGCAGCCGGACAGGAGTGTTAATCGGGCGAGCCTGCTGCGCCGTGTGTTTGTGCGGCGTAAAAAGGAGTGTAAAAGTGATTACGGATGAAAACCGGGAAAACGGGAATGTTTTACTGATGAGGCGATGGTTTCCGCTTTTCTTCGGGATGGACAGCGTCCAGTTGGGCTTTGCCTGGGCGACTATGAGACCAACAAAATCCGGTTCAGTGGAAAGAAAGGGGACGGGCGGTGCGTTCTGTGTGCCATGAACCAAGTAAACCTTTATATGTAGAGGTGTGCCACTCCGCATCTCATGGCTCTATTGGTAGGTAAGCCCGGGTTTCCCTGTCTAGCCTCGCCTAGCACGTCGCAAGAGTCGTCCCAAAGACTGTCGTACCACTTGGTACCACAGCCTCCACATTCCTGAACTCATTCTTTGCTACCCCCGCAACAAGATAAGGACAGGCGACGATTCGGGCAACTCGCCGCTGTTCGACGTGTCCTGCGCATCAACAAAGGTGCGCTGGACGCAACGAAACCTATAAATAGCTTCACGCGCGGCTTCAGAGATGTAAGGAGGAATAAACAGGCGAAAACTCATTAGACCCTGCCATGGCTGTAGCGCTTCCCTTTGCAGCGCCTCGCTCTATGGCCTACTTCCTCCACCTCTTGACCCCCATCCCCCACCCCCGGGCAACTAATTGCTCACGTCGTATCCCAACAGCGACTGACGTGCGGCTCCCCACGCCACCACACAACCCCGTAAACAGCCAACAATTCTTCGCCTGCCACACGTACAGCAGCTGCGTACAACAAAACTCCTCGCATGTCTTCAACTCTTCATGATCACCTGGCTGTGCTGATTGCGGCTCATCATCAGGGCGGTTCAACTCGGGTTCGATCATTTGGGTCGTGAAATCGCGGCCCGTTTACATGGCGTCTGTGAGCCGTCTGAGCCGCCGCGCATGGTGGCCCTCCTTTCATCAGACCGCGGGTTGACAACCGTTGGCCTCAGGGTGGGCGAAGAGGACATCGCTGCGGTGGATCTCTGAGGCTGCCTATGTCTCCGGCTGCTCCGCTGCAGAGCGCACCTCTGCGGCAGCAGCGGTCTCGTCACAGTCCATGGTCTCCGTCGTCGACAGTCAGCAGCGCGCTTTTGTAGATTGAAAATGGGCGAAAGTTTGAATTGAAAGATAATCTGAGCTACGGTAATCAGCTTGTGTCCTATAAAATAAGAAAAATGTTATGGAAGGTGTGGTGTTGCGGGCCGACGGTAGCTTCGCACGTGTTTTTTTTCACAGGATGCCGCGACGCCTTGCTGTCCGACCCGCGGGTTACTCGGTCCTATCATCGCTATTGCTGAGATGATAGGTTGATTGTTGCCGAAAATAAGACCTAAGCTGATAGATCTTAAGCAGAGATTTTCGCCAGAACGTAAACTCTCATCCTCCTCTGTTGTCATCAACAGCCATAAGAGAGACTCGCGCATCTGCCCTTGTGTCCCTCTAAACTCTTAGAGCAATAAGGACTTCAGGGTATTGATTGTGATCTCAATTCTTCGTGTAGTTCAGAGTTATAAACACGGACAGAGAGCCGTTTGTTTCTCCGAGTCACAGCCTTTGCTGCTTTCTTCGCTTTCCCTTTCTTTCGACGTTTGATTGCTACCTCAAGGGAGCCAAGTTCCTGGTAAGTTATGCAGTATTATATGCGTTAATAATATGGATCAATCCAAGATAGACACGAGCCGGATTCTAGAAACAGCCGCTGGATATCACTGTTCGTTAAAAGCGACCACTGAATGTCCTCCCTCCAGGACCCACCTAAGTCGCGCTTTTGCAAAGCAAGGGAGACCGCTTCCCTAGCTATGAACGACCGAGGTGACCGCGCTGCTGCTGAACCTGGCTATTCCGAACACCAGGATGGAAGCCAAACAACGCCACGAACAGAAGCCGCCGGCGCAGATCGCCTTAACAGACCTCCTCAGCATTCCTCTTTTGCGTCACCTTGCAGTCGCCCTGTGGGTAGCGTGCTTGGGAGGAGGGTCACCGAGACTTTGGATGAGGAGGGCGGCGTTGGGCCCGAGCTGACTGCGCTCATCGACCGAGGACTAGAGCACCTTCTGGCGCCACGTCATCACCACCAGCAGCAGCAAGGGGAGGGGTTTAAGATAGATGGGGATGGCGGCCGGCCAAGGTGAAACTATCGCCGGGCGGCCCCTACATGTGCATGTATGCTCTCGGGCGTCGTTGTCGTCGATTGACAGCTCGTGCGAGCGGGTGCAAGACATGGCGGATAGAACTGCAAAACATACCTGAGGAGATTAATTAGGCCGCGCATGTGATTGTGTCGAATCGTGAACGCGCTGAGACACGGCTGGGCTGTGGAGGTTTATCATTGCCCTGCGCCCCGTACGCGAAAGGGCGTCCACGTCATCACGCTGATGCCTTCTTTTTGTAAGTGGAATACCCCCCTGGTCTCGATTGCCGCTGTATGGCATCAAAGTACATGTACGCACAGTCGTTGAATGTCCGCGTGTCTATGAGCCACATGGATTAACAACTGCGTCACAGCCGTTTGAAACGAATCTAAACAGCTCAGTAAGCCCGTACGACCAACCACCGTACAACAGCAAAACTTAGCGCACAGCAACTCTGCAGGCAAGGAACCTGGGTAAGTGTGGCACAGCTAAGGCCGTATGCTAGAACACCCACTGATCGATAGCGTGACGTCACATGGGATGAGAGCTAGGGTCTGCCACCTTCCTTTGTCCTGCCGTACCCTAACCAGCCAGCCGACTCAGTCAGCCAGCCATCTACTGACCACTAAACCGGATGTCACCAGGCCTATATATATAACGTGGGTGCTATATATGATATATATATGTATATATGTATATATATGTATATATATGTATAGGGCGGGTGAGCGTCGTGGATTGCTTAAACAAGCTCCATATGGATGCATCCATAGGACGTCGGAAATGCATGAAACAGCCGGCTTCCAGAAATGCACGGACGAACATCCCGGCAGCTGCTGTGAAATGGAGGAGCGTCTAGGGGGTAATTATCTTTAGGCCTTTCTATTAAACCTTGGCGCGATTTATAGACAATTCTTAACGTACGATACGATCTACTTCTCGGTCCTATCTATTATTACACGGTGACCCTGTATACAGACAGATATTAAAACATTTGACGGACGAGCGACCTCCGTGCTCCTGAATGCCGGCACTCCTGAACTTGGCTATGCGGCACCTATCAACGCATTGTTGTGCTCCATTTCCCCGCGGCGTTGCTTTCTCAACCCTTCCCAGCGGCCGACCCCATGGCCGCTCAACCGTCTATGCGATTTCCCCAGGATCAATTTATCTTCTTTTGAATTCCCCGGGCCCAGGGAAATTAAATGATGGGTGTGATCACGGGTGGTGGCACGGGTGCACCCGTGTAAAGCGCACGTGTGCTTTTCATCCCAGTCACCTTAGGGGTGGGTCCTCGAACGCAACAGCCCAAACCTTGGCAAAAATTCAGGTCTCTCTTACTCTTTTCCACGAAAATTTGTACCTACGAAGGCCGGGTCTTATTTGCTTGCGAGGTTTCTGCCTGGCACGGATTATAACTTTCCACAAAAGCCCGAACCGGTTGTTTCTCACTTGGGCGCTTTTTTAGTCGGTTCGTGTTCGTGTACCCTTCCCCTCTCTACGGCAGCAGTAGCCCCAGCAGCAGCTGAGGCTAGCCAGCACGTCGGCATGTCGTTTGCCGTTGCCACGTCGCAGCCCGCGGTGGCCGATGCTGCAGCACCGCCGGCGCTTGTGGTGGGCATAGACTTCGGCACCTACGCCTCCGGTTTCGCGTACCGCAAGAGCACCAGCTCGGATGCCACCACCGCCCTCGGGAGCCCAGCGG